TTCGCCTGTTTTCCTTTCCTCTTCCTCTCCCTTTCCTCTTCCTCTATTGCCCTTGCGTTTCCCCCTGTTTTCCTCTTCCTGACTGCCAGAACGAAAAAACAACGTTGTAACTCGCGAGTCGAGAGCGCACCTCTTCCGGTCGAAGCTTAAGCGGGCCGCGCGAAGAACGACAAAACAAAACGCAGCCAAAGGCCAGCAAAACAGCGCTTAGGCCCAGCCCTGGAGAGCAGGGCCCCCATCGCTGCGCCACACCGTGGCCTCGGCGCCGAGGGCCGCGGCCAGTCGCCACGCGGAGGCCCCAAGCCCCTGGACGCCGAGGATGCGTGTCCTGATCTGCGCCACCGCCTCAGCTGCGAGACCTCCTCCTCCTCCTCCTCCGCCTCCTCTTCCTCGTCCTTCTCCTCCTCCCGCCTCCTCCTCCTCCTCCTCCCGCCTCCTCCTCCTCCTTCTCCCCACTCCTCTTCCTCCTCCTCCTCCTCCTCCTTCTCCTGCTCCTCCTCCTCCTCCTTCTTCTCCTGCTCCTCCTCCTCCTCCCCCTCCTCCTCCTTCTCCCCACTCCTCCTCCTCCTCCTCCTCTTTCTTATGACTATTCTTAGTATTAATAGCATTCGTATTATTAATGTTACTATTATTATTTTTGCTCGCAGTAGTATTCTTAGTACTACTATTCATAGTAGTATTACTATTAGTAGTGTTAGTATTATTAACATTAATACTGCTACGAGTAGTATTATTATTATTGTTACTATTATTATTATTAGTATTATTATTGGTAGTATTATCATCAGTATTATTCTTATTACTAGTATTAATACAATGTTCAGTATCAGTATTATGAGTATGAGTATTAGTCTTACTATTATTAGTATTATGAGTACTATGATGCGTAGTATTAATATTAGTAGTAGTGTTAGCATTAGTGTTATTACTATTGATCGAACTATTAATATGATTCATATCATTAATATGAAAATCTTATTCTTCGCAGTATTATTAGTCGTGTTCGTATTCGTCTGCTTCTTATTATCATTATTAGTCTGAGTGTTCATATTATTGTTGTACCTAGTCTTACTATTAGTGTTATTGGTATGATCACTACTCGTATTATTAATATGATTAGTATTATTCGTAATCGTATTATTAACGCTCGTAATATTATGTTTCTTCAAAATGTTCTTATTTTTACTATTATCATCATCATCATCCTCCTCCTGCTCCTCCTCCTCCTCCTTCTCCCCACTCCTCCTCCCCCTCCCCTTGGCACACGCGGCGGTCGAGGTGCAACTCATCAGACCCACCGCCAACTTTGAACATTGGGGGGAGGGGGAGGCGTTGGCAGATGGATGTGGCATGAGTGCTCGCCATTTGTTTCGAGGCCTCAATGACCAAACGAAAACAAGATCCTGATCCGCAAATCGTCGATTGACCGAGGCTTGGAGAATTGGCTATGGGGCACGCGTCCGACGCACAAGGAGCTGCCCCACGCAGCCTCTCCCCGGAATCGCAGGAGGCCTGCTCTTGTGCTGGCGCTCGCGCTCCGCAGGGGTGGGCGGCTGTCTTGACTACCTGCCAGAGACCACCCGAACCCAACCCGAAGACCAGAACTTCGGGTTTGGGGGGGGGGGCGGGCCTCATATGTGCATTTGTTCCAATGTTCCCCGACCCCCCCCCACTGGACATGGAGGGCACATCGGGGCCTCTGGGTTGGGTCGGGGTGGTTTGGTGGGCGGTGATGCTTCAGGTCGGTGCCTGCAGCCGCGGCCACGGCCAGCAAGACGCATTGCGTCCGGATCGAGTCGTGGCAGGTGGCGACCTCCGGACCCCACCCCCTCTGGCCGTCGACTCTTTTGAGTCCGTGGGAGGCTGGGACCCTCCTCCTCCTCCTCCTCCTCCTCCTCCTCCTCCTCCTCCTCCTCCTCCTCCTCCTCCTCCTCCTCCCCCCTCCCCCTCCTCCTCTTCCTCTCACCCCCCTCCCCCCTCCCACCCCCCCCTCCCCCTCGCCCCTCCCCCTCCCCCTCCCCCATCCCCTCCACCCCTCCTCCTCCTCCTTCCTCCTCCTCCTCCTCCTCCTCCTCCTCCTCCTCCCTCACACCATCCTCCTCCTCCTCCTCCTCCACCTGATCCTCCTCCTCCTCCTCCCCTCCTCCTCCTCCTCCTCCTCCTCCTCCTCCTCCTCCTCCTCCCCTCCTCCTCCTCCTCCTCCTCCCCCTCCCCCTCCTCCTCTTCCTCCCCCTCCCCCTCCCCCTCCCCTCCCCCTCCCCCTCCCCCCCCCCTCCCCTCCCCCTCCTCCTTCCTCCTCCTCCACCTCCTCCTCCTACTCCTCCTCCTTCCTACCCACCTCCTCCTCCTCCTCCTCCTCCTCCTCTTCCTCTTCCTCCTCCTCCTCCTCTCCTCCTGATCCTCCTGATCCCCTCCTCTCCTCCTCCTCCTCCTCCTCCTCCTCCTCCTCCTCCTCCTCCTCCTCCTCCTCCTCCTCCTCCATGAGAGTTTCGGACTTCGCCACGTGCTCGACGAATTCTGGTCCCTACCACAGCCGCCCATCGAGCTTGCCTGGATCGGATCTCCTTCGGCTCGAGCGCCGAGCCGCCAAGGACCTCGCCCGTCGCGCGAAATCGCACCCGTTCCCTCGGCTCGAGCGTCGAGTCACCCCAGGCCAGGATGGTCGGCGAGGTTACGGTTGAGTTGCTTGGAGAGGGCACGCGAGAGGACGCAAGACCCTTCCGAGGGCCACACTGTCACAGGAATATAAAGCATGGGTCGATGGACACAGGACACAAGGCTACCCTTGATTTGGCAGGGTCGACCTACCATTCGTTAGCGGACGAATCAAAACAAGATCATACAAAAAACTTGTCCGCCGTAGGAGACGCCTGCCCCAGGACAGCTGAAGAGTTCATACCCCGACGTGCCATCGTGAGGGTATAAACTTTCAAGCCGCCCAGGGGACAGGCGCCTCCAGCGGCGGACAATTGATCCTATACCTGTCTTCGTCCGCTAAGATTTGGCGGGGTCGACCTGCTAATCAACTTCAACTGCGCCGTCAACCCGTATGATAAGGATGCGCGGTGAGGATGCAAGAGCCTTGGACGGCCACGTTGTTTTTTTTCGAACGAGGCTGGCCAGCGAAAGCGGCCAAGGATGGACCGAGAAGGCAAGGATCAGAAGGAACAATAACATTACGCTACCGAGGAACCCCACATACCTACTTTATGTCCCATGTGTACCATCGGTGCTTCTGCTGCTGCTCCTCCTTCTCCTCCTCGGTGTCCTCCTCCTGCTGCTGCTGCTTCTGCTGCTGCTGCTTCTGCTGCTGCTGCTGCGTCTGCTGCTGCAGCTGCTGCAGCTGCTGCTGCTGCTGCCGCTGCTGCTGCCCCACCTCCCCGTCCTCCTCCTCATCCTCCTCCTCCTCCTCCTCTACCTCCTCTACCTCCTCCTCCTACCCCCCAGCGCACCCCCTGTGGCGTCGAGGAAATGCCACGCCTGCCACGCCCTGGGAGCCTACAACGCATAGGGCCCCCACCCCCAGCGCACCCACTGTGGCGTCGAGGAAATGCCACGCCTGCCACGCCCTGGGAGCCTGCAACGCATAGGGCCCCCACCCTCAGCGCACCCCCTGTGGCATCGAGGAAATGCCACGCCTTCCACGCCCTGGGAGCCTACAACGCATAGGGCCCCCACCCCCAGCGCACCCCCTGTGGCGTCGAAAGAATGCCCTGTGTGCTACGCTGTGCTGTGCTGTGCTGTGCTGCTGTGCGGTGAGCTGTGCTGTGCTGTGCCGTGCTGTGCTGTGTTGTGCTGTGCTGTGCTGAGTTGAGCTGAGCTGAGCTGTGCTCAGCTGTGCCGTGCTGAGCTGAGCTGAGCTGAGCTGTGCTGAGCAGTGCTGCGAGGAGGAGGGGAAGAGTGAGGTGTGTGAGAGAGAGACGAAGAGGGAGGTGTGAGGTGTGCCTGTCGCGGGTGCGGCGCGGCAGGGAAGAAAACCAGAACCCCACGAAGCATGTGGGGAATAAACATAAACTTTTGGCGCTCCGTGCGGGTTTCTTGGATCTGCGCTGGACCCCCGTCCTTGGCGCGCGGAGCGCGCCAGGGGCGGCGCCGGAGGCGCCGCCATGGGGCCCCAGCGCGAAACCAAGAAATCTACGAGGAGCGTCGTCGAGAGGAGGCAAAGATGAAAGGTTACCCTTAGGAAGGCTGCGCATCCTGACTGTGCGGGTTGACTTTAGGGCAAGGTCGGGCATGATCCGAAACATACCCCCCAATAATCAAAAGTAGACCACCAATCCTCCCCAGACTATTGTTCTACTGTTTCTGGATCTTCCTACTGTCGAGGGACAGGCCCGACTTAGCTAGGAGACCGATTTCTGACCACACCTACTTCCCGAGGTGCCTTGCGAAAAGCGGTTTCCAGAGGTGGAGGTGGGCAGTTTCCCCGCCCCAGGGGAAGGAAAACCTACCCACTTCCACACCCGAGGGCCTATCGAATCGTAGAATCGAGGATCCAGAGTTGGATGTGGTCAGAAATCGGTCTTCGATTAGCTGCAGGGCTCGGATCTCGCCTCCGAGGGGGGCGGCCCCGCCCGCGGCCCGCGCCGCGCCCCGCGGCGCGCACGCGCGGGGCTCCGCGGCGTCCGAGCGGCGCAGCGAGGCGCGCACGGTGACGGTGCCGCAGCGCTCGGCGCGGCGCGGGCGCGGCGGGGGGCGGGGCGCGGAGCCCCCGCGCGAGGAGGAGGAGGAGGAGGAGGAGGAGGAGGAGGAGGAGGAGGAGGAGGAGGAGAGAGGAGGAGAGAGGAGGAGGAGGAGGAGGAGGAGGAGGAGGAGGAGGAGGAGGAGGAGACGCGAGGAGGAGGAGGAGACGCGAGGAGGAGGAGGAGGAGGAGGAGGAGGAGGAGGAGGAGGAGGAGGGGGAGACGCGAGGAGGAGGAGGAGGAGGAGGAGGAGGAGGAGGGGCAACGAGAAGGGGGGGCATCGGCCTGGACTCGGCGATGCATCACCGACAGGGCGGCGATGGGCCCCCGCTGGTGGACCCGCACCCCTCCTGGGCAGGTCTTGGGCGCCAGAGCTATCCGGGGCAGCTCGGGCCCGGGGTAATTCGGGTTCGGATTCCCGAAAAACAAACCCGAGCTGGCCCTGACCCGAGTTACCCCTGATGACTTGAGGCTCTGGACGCCCGACTGCTCCGGGGCAGCTCGGGCCCGGGGCAACTCGGGCTCGGATGCCCGAAGAACGAACCCGAAGTAGCCCCGACCCGAGCTGCCCCTGATGATCCGGGGCTTTGAAGGGCGATCCATGGGCGATCAGTGTGCGATTGGGGGTCGATGCCTCCCCCGGGGCGATCCATGGTCGGTGCCTCCCCTGGGGCGATCGATGGGCGATCAATGGGCGATTCGGGCCCGGGGTAACTCGGGCTCTGCAGGGCGATCCATGGGCGCTTGGGGGTCGACGCCTCCCCCCCTGTGGAGGAGGAGGAGGAGGAGGAGGAGGAGGAGGAGGAGGAGGAGGAGGAGGAGGGGAGGAGGAGGTGGAGGAGGAGGAGGGGGAGGGGGAGGAGGAGGAGGAGGAGGAGGAGGAGGAGGAGGAGGAGGAGGAGGAGGAGGGACTTGCCCTCGTCCTGGCCCCGTCCGAGATCTGCACAGATGTATGGAAAGTGCATCCTGTCGGTCGCGGCGATAACGGGCGTTATGGGGGGGAGAGGTCCACTTTTTTGTCGTCAGTGCACGAGCACGTCGTGGCGCAGCGCAGAAGATGTGAAACAAAAGCGCGGCCAGAAGGGAACGGAGGAACAAGAGGAGGAGCCATGCACCACGTTCAATACAGCATTGAAAGAACTGCCGCAACGCCTTGCTTACAAGGCGACGCGATGATGGCAACTCAGAGGCACCATCGCTTCCTTAGTGTGATCATCTTCGCCGAGTAAGCCCCCGACTTGATACCCGGCGCGACCGAGGTTCTTTACGTAGATGTTCAAATACTTGAAGCCCTCTTGTGTGCGCCCGTGGGCGACCTTCACCTGGACGGTCCCGAACTTGATCAGCGGGAGCGTTGGTGGCCGCGGCCATGAGCGCGGTAGTGAAAAATCACCAGCGCGTTTAACGTTCGCCCACGACCCTGTGATGTTCAGCTCTTGGAAATAAATGTCAGCACATTGCCCACCAAGCCTTTGCACATCCCCGTCCAAACGAAGCAGGATGTTCGTATGGTCCCTTCGTGGAATGTGGATTAAGACGTGCCTGCCCGTCTTCATAAGGTCGAACCGTTGACCATGAATGTTCTGCAGATGCGGATCGCCAATTGCAGACGACACTGTCGCTGGGACGGCCTCAGGGTTTGAGACTGTCGGGTACGGCGTCGGATCGGCCGTCGGGTACGGCGTCGGGAGGGCCGTCGGGTGTGGCGTCGGATCGGCCGTCGGGTACGGCGTCGGGAAGGCCGTCGGATACAGAGTCGGGAAGGCCGTCGGCGCTGGATAAGGCGCCGGCGTCGCAGCGTAGATGTCGTGCACCTTTTGCGCTGATAACGCCAGGATGTAAAAATGGAGGTCGCCGATGGAAGCATCCAAGAAATACGGCCCTGAACTGCCAACTTATCCGGAGTAAGAACCAAGAACTGCTTTGTCGACCAAAGCGGTGCTGTACGATGTAACACAACTCGATGCGAGAGCCTCAAACAACAAGAAGCCGTCCTTGAACAGGCGCGTCCATGTAGGGCCTGAGACGATCGCACAATGTTCCCATGTGTGGAAGGTTGGCGCATAGGCAACTCCCGTACATGCCGGTAAATTTTACAGTGTTATCGCTGTCAAAATCCGCCGGCCCCCTTGTGGGGCCACCAGGCTGTAGGCGCGAGGTTCGCAGTTTCCTGTACCAGTTGTAGCTTGTAGTTTCCAGTGTTACAGTTCTGCTTCTTGCTGGTTACTGTAACTAGTTGATTGACCGCGCGAGGGGGGGGAGGACCAAACCGATATTTTAGCACCTCCTGGGTGCGTTGTCTGAATTGCTGGGGGGGCTCGAAATCGACACCCCTCACACAGATCCGCGGGGTCAGGGTCCAAAAACACAGGGGATTTGCCACATTTCTGAAATTCGGTGCCACCCCTCACGCAGATCCGCGGGGTCAGGGTCCAAAAACACAGGGATTTGCCACATTTCTGAAATTCGGTGCCACCCCTCACGCAGATCCGCGGGGTCAGGGTCCAAAAACACAAGGGATTTGCCACATTTCTGAAATTCGGTGCCACCCCTCACGCAGATCCGCGGGGTCAGGGTCCAAAAACACAAGGGATTTGCCACATTTCTGAAATTCGGTGCCACCCCTCACGCAGATCCGCGGGGTCAGGGTCCAAAAACACAAGGGATTTGCCACATTTCTGAAATTCGGTGCCACCCCTCACGCAGATCCGCGGGGTCAGGGTCCAAAAACACATGGGATTTGCCACATTTCTGAAATTCGGTGCCACCCCTCACGCAGATCCGCGGGGTCAGGGTCCAAAAACACATGGGATTTGCCACATTTCTGAAATTCGGTGCCACCCTCACACAGATCCGCGGGGTCAGGGTCCAAAAACACAGGGGATTTGTAACATTTCTGAAATTCGGTGCCACCCCTCATGCAGATCCGCGGGGTCAGGGTCCAAAACACACAAGGGATTTGCCACATTTCTGAAATTCGGTGCCACCCCTCACGCACATCCATCGCATGGCGTGGTAACCCAAACTGTGAGAACTCCCTCGGCCCTTTAATCGCAAGGTGTGGTAACCAAGCCCTTAAACCATACACGTCTTACCATTCGACAGGTGTGGTAACCCATTTTGTGATCAGTTGGTTTTGCTGATTGCGACTCGGCTTCGCATGAAGTTTCGATACTGCTTTACGACAGCGCCAAGGCCTCATGACTTAGCTCTTCCATGGCCCATTCTCCAAGAGAGGGGGCCGGCGGCAGGGGGCGAATCCCTTACGGATACAATGCCCCTTGCCCAGTAGTTCTGAAAGCCGCCGACCCCTTGTGGGTCTCTAGGCGTGTGAGATCGCCCCTCCCCCATAATCGCCTTTAGATGCTTGCGAACCAATATGTATTTTATAATGCTGCTATACGATGCTACTTTACTATACGCTTGTACAAGTTAGGAAGGGTTCGGATGGGTTAAGTTATCCTGTAGGATGCCTGCATGTTTCATATGTTTCCCTTCCGCTGCAAAATCATATGTGGCTTAGAGCTGCCTGGTTGCATCGACACTTGCGAACTGTAGGCACCCCCGTGCTTGTATTGCGTAATATTTTCACGGTTTACACCATCATGTTCACTAGTTATCATTATTGTTGAACTATTTTCCGTATTGTTAATATTTCTTCTATGATATAGCACCAACGTGCGCAACATTGCACTCAACAGGTTTTAGCGTTTCTCCAAAAGAAAAGCGTTCAAACCAGTTCAACACGAACGCCGGCAGCAATTGAGCCGCCGCCGACAGAATGTTGCGAGGGGGGCAGAGGAGGAGGGGGAAGAGGAGGACGCGGCGTTCGTGCTCCTGGCCTTGGTCGGCACCCGCATCCTGAGCTGCGAGCCGCCCGTGGGGGGATTGCACTCTTTGCTCTCTCCCTCCTCCTATCCTCACTTTCTACAGCGGCCAGACCGTTTTGCATATTATTTGCTTGTTTCAGACGCAATATCGCCTTACAGCGGCTGGCCCGCTTCTACAGTTGCCTGCGCCGCGCAATGTGTCTAACACCCCAGCGGCCTGACCGCTTCGCCCAGTGTTTGTCTGGTTCGCGCAATGTGCGCAGCGCCCTTGTGCGTGAAGCGGCTTGGCCGCTTTCATTATCATCCCTGCGCGTATATCGCCCTTGCGCGTCACAGCGGCCTGGCCGCTTTACCCATGCGTTGTTCGATGGTTCACGCAATCTGCGCAGCGCCCTTCGGCGCTGCAGCGGCCTACCCGCTTTGCCTTGCAGCGTTGCTTGAGCATGCCGCAATGTGACCATTGATTTGGGTTCCCTTCTCAGCGGCCAGACCGCTTTCTAGCCCCGCTCGGCGCGCTGCGCCGCAACAGCCCCCACCCCCACCGCTCCTGTTCAAATCCACGGCCATGGCCCACGAAGGCTCGAGTATTCAGCGGGATGGACGCCGCCGCAGTCGGCTCCATTTTGGAGTCGACTGTTGGCCCCGTTCAGGCAGCTGCAAGTCTCGCGCGGCCAGGCGAGCCAGTTGGCGAAAGAACTCAAGAGGGCAAGGCTGCCGCCAGAGGACTCGCGGCCAATTCTGGCTGCGACCGCTGGATCGAGGTTTTCCGAAGGCGATCAGGCATCCCTGAACACCACCATCTCGTCGATTGTTCCTGGCGGCGATTCCCTGCACTATGTCGTCGGCACTCAGGACTGGGAGACACTCCACGAGTTTTTGCCCAAGTGAGCGCGGGATGCATTGCCAGTAGGGGATCCGAACGCGTTGTTCGACATTTTGATTGATTTAAGGCTGCGCAAACCTAGCGAGCCGACCGGGCGATGGCTCGCCTGACCATGCAAGCTGCGACAGGCCTGGACGGCGCGATGGAAATAGACGCTGCCGCACGGACCGACAACGCGATAGCTGTCGGAACCCTGTTCACGCCGGGGGCGACCGCAATGTCTCGCCCGACCCCAGAGCCGATCATGAAATTGTCGATGAAGCCCAACTGCTT